TCTATCTATCTATCTATCTATCTATCTATCTATCTATCTATCTATCTATCTGCTATCAACAAACAAGCTATAAACAAAACATAGTTAATAACAAGCAAAATAGAAAAAAGGAAAATATAAACTATCTTAACAATTGCACCTGCAATATTACATCTTAAAGAATAAATTAACCTTTCAAATTTTAAAAAATATCCACTGTAAAGTATCATGAAATCTGTGCCAACCAGAAACCTATTGTGTCATTTTTTTAATTAGGAGAAAAAATATTCTTTTTGGAAAGTAGAATAAATGATCAGAAATCCCTCCTCCCCATAAACCCACACAAATTATTTATAGGTATCTTGGTCTGTTTTGGCAAAAATCTGTATTAATATTCTGTAAGAAAATTTAAACTATGGAATGCCAAATACTTATTCAAGTAATATAAAAATGCTTTCAAATGCCATTATGTGTTTGAACAACTAACATTATATTATCACGAGGCACCATGCAGACTGATTAAAATATTGGTCTGAGAACAGAATGGATTCAGGTCTAAAATCCCACTGTGGGGTTAGCTCTCCTTTAGCTCAGACTACCTTATATTAGGGAAGGGAAGGATGGAGAGATACTGACCCACACTACTGAGTTCTTGGTGGGAAATAAATATACATTTAGCAAACAAAAATGTTTGATGGATTGTGGGGTCTTTGGTGCTCTCTAAGTTGGTAATACAATTAATTACCAAACTAGGTAACATCATCAGTGCTAGAAGAGAATGGTACTTGCTCTTATTTTTATATACTAGTGGCTCACCCTGTCAGTGTTGGTGCTCATAGAGTATCAAGGACCCCACAGTTCAACCCTTGAGCTACAAATATTCTCTTCTATCAGTGTTTGATGAATGTTCAACAAATGTGTAAATTTGGCCCAATATTTCCTACTTTATTTTAGCCCCAATGGAATGAGCATGCAAGCTCATTATGAAGCTCACCATGGTTTTATGTGTCCTTCCTCTTTTAATTGCCCTCCCTTCCCTACATTCTCTTAGAAAGTTTTATAAACCCCCTCGATAAATTTCCTGATGTGCCAATCACAGGAGAGGCCTTTATTTTGATAAAAGTTTGAATGAAGCACCCCTTCAAAACTGATTCAAAACATAAGGTCCTCCTGTTTCCAAAATAATAATAATAATAATAATAATAATAATAATAATAATAATAATAATAATAATAATAATAATAATAATAATAGGAAGAAGAAGAAGAAGAAGAAGAAGAAGAAGAAGAAGAAGAAGAAGAGACTCAATTGCTTGGCTTCACTCTTTTCTACAGACCTTCTACAATTTCTACTGACGCTTAAACCTATCCTGGAAGTGGTTTCTGTAGAATTCTATCCAAACCTCTATAAAAAATGAAAATTTAACTCTTCCACTCCCTATCCCTAAAGTGAAAAATATATATACAATATCAGACCAAGCCTTTCTGGTGATCTTTTTATTCCCCTTCTAATGACCTTTGAAAAATGTGGGGAAATGGGCTTTCTTTTTGGAGGAAACCTCTTCCTTTTTTGACTATATTAATGTTTGGAAATGAATGTGGTTTTCTTCCCACAGCCCTGTTGTTTCAATCCCCATCTTTAATTTTAAACACAGACACACCCACACACACACATGCACCAAGTTCACTGTCATCATGTGGTTATTTTGCCACTAAATTTTGGTGGTAAGTTCTTGAGATGATGTGTAGGTACAGGTGATCACAGGCTAGCCATCTCCTGCATGGAATATAATTGGCAGATCTCAGTGGCTGCGTTTGAACACCACTTTAAGCCAGAATGACAACAGAAAAAGCCATTTTGTGGCTTACAGCCAAGTATGAACCCAATCTCACTAGACATGTAGTCCTCAATGGAACTGTATCTACATGGAGGGAAGTATGCAGTGGAGTACCCCAGGGCTCTGTTTTAGGCCCAGTACTCTTCAACATATTCATCAATGATGAAAGGATAGATGGAGAACTCATCAAATTTGCAGATGGCACCAAGCTAGCAGGAACAGTCAACACTCCAGAAGATAGGTTTAAGATAGAGAAAGATCTTGACAGACTTGAACATTGGGCATTATCTAACAAAATGAAATTCAATGGTGAAAAAAGTAAGGTTCTACATTTAGGCAAGAAAAACAAAATGCACAGGTACAGTATATGTGGTACCTTGCTCAATAGTGGTGACTGTGAGAGGGATCTTGTAGACAATCACTTAAATATGAGCCAGTAGTGTGCAGCAGCTGCCAAAAAAGCCAACACAGTCATAGGCTCCATAAACAGAGGGATAGAATCAAGATCATGTGAAGTGCTAATATCACTTTATAATGCCTTGGTTAAGGCCACACTTGGAATACTGCATTCAATTTTGGTCGCCACGATGCAAAACAGATTTCGAGACTTTAGAAAGAATACGAGAAGAAAGATGATTAGGAAACTGGAGGCTAAAACATATAAAGAACGTTTGCTTGAACTGGATATGTCAAGTCTAATGAAGAGAAGGACTAGGGGAGACATGTTAGCAGTGTTCCGATATCTCCAAAGAAGAGGGAGACAAGCTATTCTCCAAAGCATCTGAGGGTAGAACAAGAAGCAATGGGTGGAAACTAATCAAGGAGAGAAGCAACTTAGAACTAAGCAGAAATTTCCTGATAGAACAATTCATCAATGGAACAACTTGCC